CCCCCCCCCCCCCCCCTAGAGAAATTTCCTAGCTACGCCCCTGATTTTGCATAAACTTGTGTTAACTGTGGTGCTCAGGCGAGCTTCGGAAGTTGCGGGACATCGTTTTCTACGGGGTGGCGACCTCTTTGGCGGTGTCCTCGCCGGCTCAGCCGGAGACCCACTCGCTGCGGCTCCTGATATTCCAGTGGCTTCTCTACTGCCTCGTCATCTCGGCGGCCTACCAAAGCTCCCTGGGCAGCTTCATGACCGTGCCGTGGAGCACGGACCAGATCCGGGAGCTCCAGCAGATCCTCGACGGTCGCTTCAACATCACCGGACAACCCCAGGCCGGCAGGATCCTCAAACGCTCCGCCACCGAGAACCCCGTCCTTCAGAGACTCTCCCAGAAGTTAGTCATTCGAAATTTAACCCAGTGTCGTGCTCCCATTTTCCGGAACTGCAGGCTGTCTACAAGTCCGGAATTTTCGCAAAGTCCGGAATACATACTGATTTTTTAAGGGCGGTCCGGAAGTACTGAAAAAGGGCGGAAATCCCGGAAGAAGGTCCGGATTTTTTTTTTTTTTTTTTTTGTCACAATTTGAAAGAGAAATTCAATTTTTTTAAATTTGTCTAATTTCGTCAATTGAGGTACTGAAAAAGTACTGAATTTTCCCGCTGAGGAGGTACTGAATTTCTCCGGAATGTACTGTAAAAGTACTGATATTTGGCTAGCCTGTTTTAGTAGACACCCTGTAGTGCCGAATTTTGGAACTTTTGAGGTTCTCCTAAATTTTCCCGGAACTTTTGCAATTCCCAATATGTTCCGGTCTTTTGCATTATCCGGCACTTTCGCAGAACTTTCACTAAGATCGGAATGATATGCAGCAACAATCAAAGAGGTGGATTGACAAAATCTTATGATTGAGGATTTCTAACGAAAATTGCCGGGGAAAAAAATGTTAAATTTATTATCCCGAAGGGATAGGGTTATCCCCAATGACGCAACTAATCGCTAAAAGTTTATTCTTGCATGTGGAAAGGAAGAGGAATTCACGCCTCCGTTATTAAGTTTAAGCACATAAACTTTCACAAATGATTAATTCTTTCCGAGAGTGCGTCATAAATTTTATCATGTCAAGTTCTGAACTTGTGTATTCTTTACAAAGTTTCATGCTATATGTTGTTGGCTAGATTCGTGATTCACGCGGGGTTCTACGATGACGTCATCGACTTGATCGAGGCGGGGACGACGGCTTCATTCGGGGCCAAGCGCTTCATCCAGTTCTACTCGATCAATCGACTCAGGAAACGCAACGCCATCCTCCATATCATCCCCGAATGCGTCCTCCAAGCCCACTCCAGCCCCTTCATGTTCAGGAAGGGATCCGTCCTTGAACTTCCCATTAACCGAATCATTTCCGGTAAATTGCCCTAGATACAAATGGGCTTGGTGAGACAAGCTCATGTGTATAGTTAGTAATTGTACAAATAGTTAGGCATTTAGCACTTTTGGCCACCTTTTCTATCCTAATTTCTCTTATTTTGTAATTTCTTATACTTTTGATGATGAGGAAGTATGAATAATTTCTACCAATTGTAATATTAATTATGACTCACAGTAAAAGGACATGTGGGCATTTTTCATTTGGGCGATGGTACCGCTACTGGACATTCCAGGTACTTGGACATTTTCTACTCGTGAACCTTTCTTATATTGGACACGTATTTTTTGGCATTTTGACCTATCACCTGATTATTAAAAAAAATATGCGATGGTCACAAAACGCATGTGTCAAATGCCCCTGACGTTAATAAAATCACTCCCGACAGTTTCTGTGAATATTTTTGAATAAGGAAAAAAAATCAATTACTAATTTTCGGAAAAACTTCCGGTAGGTTATTTTTTTTTAAAATAGTAAAAGGTAAGCGGAGATTTGCAACCCCGCATTAGGACTACGCATTTATCGACTTTAGCCATCGATTTACATGATCTATCGCTTTTCCGTGACATTCTAGCCATTACAGCGTCTATCTTACGCCTACAGGTTTGGTCGAGAGTGGAATTACGGATTACTGGTTCGAGTACTCGATTCCAAAGTCGGGTTTGAAGTTGGAGAACGTGCGAGCGTTGCAAATAAACCAGATCAAAGGGTTGCTCATCATTTTGTTTTGCGGTCATACCATGGCGGCGATAGTGCTACTACTGGAGAAAGCCCATCGCTACTGGACCGTCCGCTCCGGAAAAAAGAAAAGAGTTGCGTTTGTGGATTCAATGGACAAAAATGATGGGAAGAAGGGAGAGCCTCACCGCATGATGCATGCATGGAACTAAGTAGGGAACTTTGGAGTAGAGGACCTTGTTGGAGTGTATTGTTGTATTTTCGAAGGTGGAATTCACTTAAAAAAGGGAGAAAAATAAAATTTGTAAGACTTTATCATTTGCCTCAATGTGGGAGTTTGAAACGCATGTGTGAATGAAGCTTTTATTTATATTTTCAACTTTTAACGCAATTGTCTTGCTAATAATCACATAAGAAAATAAAGTAGCCCCTCTAGCCGTGATATCTTTAGGCACACACCATTGCTGCCTCTTGATTTAAAGGAGGATTCTTATTATATTATAACCTGATTTTCATAAAAATTAGTAATAAAATCCCTCAACAGTAAAAATGTAGCTTTGATGTTTCGTGGAGTGCTGTGCATTGCGTGAACTCCCCCCCCCCCAATAAGAAGGGTCCGGTGAGGACCCACCGATAAGAGGTGAGGAATCTAGGAGAGATCCCTTCCCCCAAAATTTGTGGAATTTCAAAGCAAATCTAATCTGTGCAAATTCAAACTTTCAAAGCTTTTGAAAACTGAACCGTGGTTCTCTACGTATGTGGGCTACTTTGGTTGTGCCTTCCCCCTCTTCTCCAATTGGTGTGAATTGACGCTCTGGGCAGTAAACTGCTTTGCAATGCTGCCGTCATTTTTCTTGGTTCAAAATAACTTTCAACAAACCTTATCACACAATATGGGAGTAGAGCACGAGAAAGGGCGCGCTTTGATGACGGCGCAGAGATACAACTACTCGTACTTGATGGATGTCCGTGCTGCATCTGCAAAATTGAAGGCGCGATGGCGCGAGGCGTAAACTCGCAATGCTCCGCTTTATGTTTCCAATGAGGCGTTGCGCAGATTCGGCAGAAAAATAAAAAAATGAGGCCCGAGTACGTCTCCCATATCTTCGGTTGTGCTGCTCACGCGTAGCCCTTAAAACACCACCACAAATGAGACAAATGGAAACAAACACAATACGAAATTAGAGCAAGAGAATTGACGCTCGTTGATGACGGCGCAGAGATACAACTATTCGTGCTTGATGGATGCCCGTGTGGTATCTGCTAAATTGAAGGCGCGATGGCGCGAGGCGTAAACTCGCAATGCTCCGTTTTATTCTTCCAATGCGGCGTTGCGCAGATTCGGCAGAAAAATAAAAATAATGAGGCCCGAATACGTCTCTCATAGCTTCGACTGTGCTGCTCACGTAGGTAGCCCTTAAAGCACCACCACAAAAGAGACAAATGGAAACAAACACAATATGGAATTAGTGCAAGGGAATTGACGCTCGTTGATAACGGCGCCGAGATACAACATTCGTGCTTAATGGATGTCCGTGCTGCATCTGCAAAATTGAAGGCGCGATAACGCGAGGCATAAACTCGCAATGCTGCCAATGAGATGTCGCTCATTAGATTCGGGAGAAAAGTAAAACACTAGGGAGGTGTGGAGATTTAGGGGGTCCGCAGCATAAACTACGCCTAAAAGAAGTCCATATATCTACTGGCCCTGAACCCTAGCTACTTGAAGTTTTGCAAAGAATATTTTTGCATATTTGTATCTCAAGGCGCCGTTTATCACACAAGGGCACCTTTCCACACCTGATGGCTCCCTAACCCTTGCAAAATAAAATCATTCTATAGGAGGAAACATAATTGCAGTAATGATAAAGAACAATGCCGGCATTAGTCTTCTCATTTTGAATTCTAAAATGAATTCTCTCTCCTCCCTCTCCCCTCGTTTTCATCTCCTGTATTTTCCTTCGATATTTTATCCTCCTTTCCTATTCCTTTTATCACTTCTCTCCCTTCCCCCTCTCTTCACGTTCTCCCTCTTCTTTTTCGTTCCTCCCGCCTTTTCTTTTCGTCTTCTCGGCGCCCCCGTTTTGTCGACGCCTGGAACAACTGCTACTCTTGCTTGCCCTTCGGACTCTAGGGTCCTGTTTCCATGAGGAAGCGAGAAAACTATAAATACAACAATCATATAAAATCAGTATGTTGTTCTTATACTTGCCTCGAAAATGATGGATTTGGATTTTCAACATTCTTCGGTTTTAAAGGAGGTGCTTCTTTCTTCTGCTTGATCTCGCCGTTGACCTGGAATGTGAAGTTTAAATGAAATAACAGACAGAGAAACAAACATTTTCGATCACAGAGATATTAGAACTGAAGTACATGGCCGGATTTACATACTTGCCGCCCATGGGCCGCCTGTATTTTGCCGCCTTCTCTCATTCGTTTTGAAAAATCAATAAAAACCTTGAAGTGGACATGCCGAAGAAGGAGACGTGCATAAGACGCGCTAACTCGTGTCGGACACATTTTCACAAACCTATCTCTGGTGTGGTAAAGGCCTTCCATTTATAAGAAATTCACGAAAAAATTATGAGAGAACAAACATAAGTGTGGTTTCATTTTTAACTTCCGCCGCAGTGCCGCGCTGACCGCATTGTGTTTGGCGCAATGCGTGAAGTATTCATGCTGCCTTGTAGGCGCTATGCGTCTCACGCCGACCGCTGCTGACCGCACTGTGTTTGACGCAATGAGTTTCACGCCGACCGCACCGTATTTGACGCAATGCGTGAAGTATTCATGCAATCCTGTAGGTGCTAATATGTGTTATATGCCAACCGTCGCGTCGCACCGAGGGCCTCTCCTTTTCATCTCCAGGCCTCGTCATCAATGCTCTCTACGCCGCGCCGCTCCAAGTCAAATTGCGTGTTTGAGTTCTCTCTTAACTCGACTAATTAAAGGTGCTGTCTCTTGTATCACCGAAAGACAACATACTCTCAGGAAATGAGAGATTTTGTCGCCTTTTCTCGTTTGTAATTTTTTTCTGAATCCGATTTTTTTTCATACTTACATTTAAAAATATTGCAAAATTTGCCGCCCCCTAAATTTGCCGCCATGTGCCGCGGCCCATGTGGCCACCCCTAGAGTCCCTTTATACCCAGAGTTACGACAACTCGATTATCAGCTGACTGACAGCCGGCCTTGGCTGGCCATGGAGGCCGAAACGAGTGCACCCAAACGAACGATATTGGGGGATAAGGATCAGGAATCCTGCGATGTCTGTCACACAGAAACAACAACATCAACAAATTGATCAATTAAAAAGAAAATGAGATTGGTTTGTGAATAATTTCTTAATCTATTTTCATTTTGGACCGATGGCAATAACAATTTACTCTTGATAAACCACAATTAGGTAATATTTTCATTATTCTTGTTCACATACGAGGTACCGCCAGCTTGGTGCACTCGTTTCGGCCTCCATGAGCGAGAACCAATCAGAATTGGATTTTTTTTAGGCCACTTTCAGCCCAACCCTGGCCCAACCAAAAGTGAGTTGTCGTAACTCTCGGTATAAAGGGACTCTA